CCAGCTAGCCATGCTGGCTGGGGAATTCTGGGAGTTGAAGTCCACTCATCTTAAAGTGGCCAAGTTTGGACAACACTGTGCTAGGCCTTTGATGAGGGTGGGTGAAGCCCCCTTGGATTGTGTGAGTTTGTTTCCTTTTTTCTCATTCCTGCCTAGCTGTCATCTTTGCCATCTTTTATTCTTTATTTTTGTTTCTTATTATTTTGTCTTTTGGGGGGGGGTGTTTTTACTCGTGAGATGCTGGGAGTTGGTGGGAGTCGAGCAGCAAAGAAATTTTATTAATAAACAAATCTTTTATATCTTCTATGTCTCTTATATATACGGCTAGGTTTTTTAGTCTACACATTTTACATGGCTTTTACATATAACCTTTTATGTATTCCTTTTCCATTATCATTCATTATATTGTATTTTCCAGTTGGTTTGGTTTCATTGTACGCCGCCCAGAATCAGTTGGGAGTCAGGCAGTGCCTAAACTGAACAAATTATATTCAATTAAATAAAATGTTATGCTTTATATTTATTGTGGGGGTTTTTTCTCCCTAATGACTTCACTCCATCCCTTTATGCTGGTCTATGATTGTAATAAGGATTGATTTGAAATGAAGCACTGAGTTGGAGCGATCAATCATTTTTATTTTACAAGAAAACTTACAGCGCTCCCTTGGAGTTTTGGTTCTTCCTCTGGAATAGTAGCCCAACGCAACTCAGAATGCACTGAGTCTTGTCCTTTAAGTTTAATTGACATTTATAAAAGAATCCATGAAATGATAGCAAATTGCTGATGACAATTTACTATGACTGTAATTTTTTTTTTATTGCCAGGAATCAGGCAAGACATCTGTGGAATTTTTTTGCCTTAGGTGCCCAAATCGCTTGATCAGACTTGAATATTGTGCCTCGAGGCCTGAGGCTCCAGAAGGTTTCAATCTGCCCTCCCCCAACAGGAGACCAGTATTTCCTGGGCCAACGTTCAGGATGATAAGACTAGGCTTTCCCACTCAGATAATCTCCACGTGTGTTTGAATGGGATTTCCATCAAACAAAGACCCGGTTTAGAGAACCACTGTTCAAGACAGTGGAGACTATCCAGCTCGGAGAAGCTGCCACAGACACTAACTAATTCATGTAACCGCCCAAAGTTGGGCTACGAACTTGTAGAATGTCACTGCCCACCACAGCCATGATGTCTGGTTCGGTCCAAAGAACTCAACGAGACAGTACAGATACAGTTCTGTTGCGTTTATTAGCTTCCACCTCAAGACAGAAATCTCTCCAGACTGA